TTTCCTTCCTTATTTTGATACTGGAGAAGTATAAGAAGCAATACTGTAGCTTTGGGAAGTAGACTAGTATTCAAAGCCTTGAACTATTTTACAAAGTAAGCTGACTTTGTGTTACCCTTCTGCTACTGCTTTTGTGAAGTAGAACAGAATTGCAAGTTTCAAAGAAACAATTTATCCTTAGTCTATCTTTAGAATAGTGTGAAAAATATCAGTTTCAGGTAGAAACTGTCTGTTCTTAGTCTAATTAAACTCTAATTAAAATTATTTCTAGGTTGCCTTACATATGGCAACACATAAATTTAAAATTAAAATGTGAAAGAAGAATAAATTAATATAGATATTGCTTACAATGAATATAATAGTGAAATGACAGAGCTAGGAATTTACTGATATCAGTCTCTGCTTGACTCCTGTGTTGTTCCACTGAAGTGATGCTAGTTGCTACCTGCCAGTGAAATGTGACTCAAGAGAGTTGATGACAAAATTCTTTCCTGCTGTGTTGTGTGAGGGGTTGGCATTGGCAGAACAGATGATTAAAGTATGTATTTTTGTTTTAATTGCAGATCTTTTCTGGAAAAATGCCCTCTTTCTTAAATATGTCTTTAAGTTATGCATCTGTGTCATGAGACTTAGGATGTCCAGTGTGCCTACTATGAGGAAGAGGGTACAGTGTTTCTTTCATTACTATGTCTGTGCTTAATATTAAAACTTTCTGTAGCTTTTTCCTGTATTTGATGTCTATTAGAACAAGCCTCTAACTGCAGCACCAACAGCTGTTGAAATTAGCAATGTGTGCTTTTCATTACCTTCTGTAATTCTTTGATGGATTTGGGAAAAAAAATTATGAAATGGCAGACATGGTATAGGGCTTTTTTCTCAGATCATAGATGAATTGCTGCAATTTGAATTAGCTGGCTAGAGTCTTTGGCTGAAATGCAATTTACTTTAAGACATATACTTAATTGTAATGAAGATTCTTGCCTTGCCAGCTACTTTTGATATTGATTTTTAAGTTCGGACTAGGTATGTGATACAATAACAGACTTACAGGGTGGTCTGGGAGCTACATATATCAGGTTATTGATGCTGACTGTCTCTCACATTTGTTCAAGGAAGCATTAAAAACGTTACTATTTTTACCATTTAGAGTGGTGCAGTTTCCTGCTCTGTAAAAAAAGAATAAATGTGGTGCTTATTTCATAGAAAACATGTATTTTTGGTCCACACTGCTTGTGTCAAAATGTTCTTCTCTTTGTATATACTAAATACGATTTTATTAAAAACTAAAATTCTAATATTGCCATAGATTCTGGATGTAGAAAAGAGCTTATCTTGTTAGGCTAAAAAGGGTTGTTTCTCAAACACCATAGATGCAATAATGATTTTAACATGACCAAAACTGACTCCTTTTAAGATACAAACTAGTGTATGTAAGTTTGCACTAGTCGGCACTTTGGCTGCTAAAGGTCCTTTGCAAGTGTCAAAGGTCTATCTAGACTGCCAGGAGAAATTCCTGATTCACCCCAGGGGCCTCAGACTTCATTTTTTCTCACTGACACTGCATGAATTCTTTTTTATTTTCAGATTCTCTTCAGAGGGCACCCATGGGAGTGGACAGGATAGTTTGCTCAAGGATTGCTCCAGGGAGGATATTGGCATGGGAGCAGCAGCACATGCCCACTGCAGCAGCTGTGGTCCCTCAAATGCTTCTGTGGCACATCTCAGGGTATGCAATGCACAGGTGAGGTATTGTAATCTTGAACCAGCACTCTGCTGTGGGAACTTATCTCCTTTAAGCATTTAATGCATTTTGAATGGAAAATGCATGTATATTGTTATATCTTATTGTCACAGAGACACTACAAAGGGACCAGAGCAGATATGATCTCATCAAATGCTAGGCAGTGTGAGGATGACTGGTTCGTTGCAAGTAATGCTGCCTCTGAGCAGTGTAGGCACAAACCAGTGTATATATATTGATCTATGAGCTGTTTCTTCCCCTTGTGCAATCCACAGTGACAATTGGTTTGTTGGATAAATCAGACTGAAAGAGATGTCAAGAGGTCATCTAGTCCAATGTCCTTCCCTAAGCAGGGTCAGCTACAAGGTCAGACCAGGTTACTCAGTGTTTTATCCAGTCGTGTCTGAAAAGCCTCAAGGATGAAAACCATGCTACCTCTCTGAGCAACCTTTTTCTCTGCTACATTATCCTCATGATATTTCTTTCTCCTTAAATTAATTCTAACCCCCTTTTATTTCAACTTCTCCTGTTTGCTTTTTATCCTCCCACTGTGCATCATTGTGCAGAGCCTGGCTCCATCTTCTTGAAGACTTCCTTGCAGGTATTGATGGGCAATCAGGTATCTCCAGGGGGTACATGCACTTTTTATAGCATAGAATACTTCAAATTCCCTTTCATTCTCTAATTCAGTAGTCCAAACCAAAAAAAGTGAATCTACATGAGGTGTTAGAGAGTGTCCAAAGAAGAGAGTCCAAAGAAGGCCAGTGAAGGTGATGAAGGGTCTGGTCTCGCAAGGAGTGGCTGAGGGAACTGGGGCTGTTTAACCTGGAGAAAATGAGGCTGAGGGGAGACTTTATTTTTCTCTGCAACTACCTGAAAGGAGATTGTAGTGGGGGAGGGGTGTCTCTTTTTCCCAGGTAGCAAGTGATAGAACAAGAGGAAATGGCCTCAAGTTGTGCCAGGGGAGGTTTACATTGGCTATTAGGAAAGGTTTATTCACCAGAAGGGCACTGGAACAGGCTGCCCAAGGAAGTGGTGGAGTCACCATCCCTGGAGGTATTTGAAAGACGTGCAGATGTGGTCCTTAGGGACATAGTTTAGTGGTGGACTTGGCAGTGCTGGGTTAACGGTTGGAGTTGATCATCTTACAGGTGTTTTCCAACCAAAATAATTCTATGAGCCTGATAAGGTTTGGGATAATTCTGAATAGCACAGTTCTGTGACATACAGAAGTAGACAAATATGGATTGCTTGCTTGGCTCTATGTAAAAGCACAATTTATTTGTGCTGACATGGAAGTGCAGATGTTTCTGGCATCAGAGTTAAGGTGTACAGTGTCATCTCTCTATATATAAAGCATTGAGCTTTTCTGAGTATGCATGAGATCAAAGGAAAGAGCAAGACAAAAGTATAATTTGGGCAAATCTGTCATAAATTTTGTCTAGTATCTGAAATGAAAAAAAAAATATTAAATTTAAAGACAATGTCTTCAATATATTATTACACCTCAAGGGGTGCTTGCTTTTTTTGATAGTGCTAATAACATAGGGGCACTTTATATTTTACACTACATGCAATTAACAAATAATGTAAGATTATCTTGACTATAAAATAAAGCATTTTACGAAATAAAAAAATCTCACCATCCTTCTTGCTTTGGTTGTAAATGATACTTTCTGGATTTGTAAATAATTAATAGAGTTTATCCATTGTTATGTTTTCCACCCAGATAAATCCAAGTATCTTTCCACAGGGCTGAGTTAATTTCATAGAAATTAACATAGAAAGACAAACATAGATGGATTTGAGTGATTTGCCTAGGATCTCATGGCAATCTGTGGCAGAACTGGGGATTTAGAGTAATGCAATGTTTGCTACTTCTGTACCTTACACATAGGAAACCTGTTATAGAAAACTAATTACACCAATTTGAATATTAAATGGCATCATAGCAGTAAACTACTCCAAAGGAAGTATGTTATTTAGAAGGAAGTTGACAACCTCATGTATCACAAAAGCTAATATATGATGATGGAATGAATAATGTAAAGGAGTGAGTTATAACATGCTGTCTTACAGAATTGCTGCTGTTATTTACACCATGTCTTCTATGTTGAATGCAAAGTTTCTGCCACTGTATGCAAAAAATTGCAACCTAATGAATTTTTATGCTGAGGGAATTTTGGCCTTGTCTCAACACCATGTAAGAGGTTGAAGAGAGTTAGTAATAGGGCT